TCGACTTGCGTTTCAAGTGTAGGTAAAATAGCAAGGTAAAGTAGCCTCTCAAGACTTGGTAGCATCTTAAAAAAATAGTAGAGCAGTTAACGGGAAAACGCACCATTATATTTTAAAGAGATCCTGACAGTTCATAGATAGTATAAGAAAGCATTTGTAGAAAGCCATACTTCCCGAAGAGGAATGACATTAAAAGAAAGAATATCTTTTTTACAGAAGATAAATGCATTCAAGTAAATAAACATTCTATTATTTTTATTACTTAAACGTCATTTTTTAGTGCGTGCTCCTATTTCAGTAGACTCCCCGTTTATATATATATATATATATATATATATATATATATATATATATCCAGAGCAGTAAGGAAGTACAACAATATCCCATAATATTTATTGTCCCAATCGCTTTCGGCTACTTCATTTTAGAGGATGTTTTGTCTCTGGTATTTTAAATCGTCTTTTGACTGTTACGTTGTATTCTATTTTTGTCTTGTTTTGCATGGGAACGTTCATCCCGAGCCTTCACATGTTGCGTGCGATTACAATTTGCGTGAGCATCTTTCTATTAAATAAAAAGAAGAAAATTTAACACTCCATATCCACTGTTAAATAATGTGAGGTTGATAGTAGGAGAGGAATTTTTATATACAGGTCATCTCGAATATCGAGATGTTTCTGATAATGTGTTTTATATAGAATTCTTGTGTTTTCGACCAGAATTTTTTGTAAATTATGGGTTGATAAATAGTGGCTTATGGAATTTGGAAGATGAGATAAAACTATTGTTTTAGGTTATCTATAGTTTTGACCTTAATTTTCTTTTATTTATTTATTTTGTTTATTTTATTTGCTCTGATATTTTATTCCTTTATTTATTTATATATTTTTCGGTTGTAAAATCTGACATTACGAATAAAGTTTCTTACATTTATATTATAGGTTATAAGTTTTTTAGTCTTTTGAGTTGTGATGGAGTTGTAGGTGGCGTGGTAGGCATTTGATTTCGTGCATTCATTTGGCAATGCCCTCCGATAATTTTAGGTCTTTTTATTGTACTGTAGGATCGATTATTGTTATTTTCTCCGCTAGGTTTTGAGGTAGTGTAAGATGCCACTGTTTTTCGTGTGTCTCATGTTTATTTTGATGTGTTTTGATGACGAGATCTACATCGATACTGTTCATATTGGCAGACTCTTGATATCCGATACTCGTTTCTCTTCCCCAATAAACGGCGAATTCTAAACAATATATATGAATATAAATCACCACAAAATTAAAGCACACATGCTGAAATAGATATTATCCTGTAAATGATATTAAAATTATCGCTATTGCTCTTTTGCATATTTCCTGCTTTAGCACTTTTAAATTTGGGTATTTATGAACTAAATGCTCCAGAGAATTTCTAAAAGCCTTTTAAGTTTTTTATTTTTTTATTTTATTTTTATTTTTTTAACAAGTGATGATTCAAACCTTAAATTAATTCACACGCGTTTTTTTTTCAACGTTTGTTTTCTGGTTTTTAAACGAGATCTAAAATTAAATTCTGACGACAATTTAGTTCTGCCTGACGCACAATGGGTGTGGACTGGTCTGCGCATGTGAAGGCTAATAAGTAAACATTAGTCACAATAATTCTGGGCCAATCAGATTCTATTTCCGACAACGCCCACTCACTCACGCACAGATGCGCATGTGCAAAAAGGAGTCAGCTGAAAGATTATACATTAATTTCCATTGAAAACCAGAAAAAAAAAGAGAAATAAAACAGATGTGCACATTTTGGATATTTACAAAAGTTAAGTAAATCCGGCATTGGGAAAACAAGTAAATGCAGATACAAAGACAAAATTCCTCTCCCCTCGCACAATCCCAAACGACCTACGTATTTATCAATCTAGCACTGTTTAGCACAGCGTTTCCTAACCGGGGCGTACTAATGCACCCTGAAAGGTAACCAGATGTGCCCCAAGTTTACAGAAGAGTAATTCATCAATTATTTTTATATTTAAAAAAATTATATATTTTTAAAAAGCTAGACACCAAACATATGGCATGTATACCCAAGCCAAGACTTTGTCATTTGATATTTTGAACTGGCTGCTAAATTAATTCCTTAAGAGAAAAAGTAGATAACCCTTTATCCTTTGCCTTCCTCAAAGGATATAAATCAATCATTATCGGCCTTTCTTAAAAAAAAAATTAATAGATTCTTCATAAATCCCCTTAAATGAAAACGGTATCGCTAATTTTCTTTAGGAATGCTTGGCCAAAATTTTATATTTCAAATTTCATGGCGATTTTTTTTCTTATTAAAATTTAAAGTGCTCCCTAGAATTTTAGTTAGTTCTATAAGTGGGCCCGGAAGTAAAAAAAAAAGAAAAAAAAATGTTGAGAAACACTGGTTCTGGTATATAGCCACGGAAAGACATCCTACCGTAGCACAAAACCACGGTAACACATTCATTAAAAAATGACGCGGGAATATAATTTACTATCCATACTCTACGGGTTTTTTTTTTCTAATGTTCAACTAAT